TCTTTAATTAATGCACTGTCTGGCGATTTTTCATACTCCTAGTTGCTGCTGAAATTCCTCATTATCTTTTTCATTCAGTGAGCGTTCGTCCTTCATTATCAACTTTCGTGAGGAAATCTTCAGTTATTACGTCTGTACTGATGCTTTTATCTAATACTTTTTTGTCGGTCGCTTCTTTAATATTTCATTCATATCAAATATCTTAGAGTCAAACTTTGTTTGAAGCAAGTCTATATTCTTCTAGCCAACAATTGGCGCGCTTCATTGCAATCTTTTTCTATTTTATATGCAAAATAACGTTTTCCAATCGAAACTGGAAAGTTTTGGAAGGCGCACCATCCTCTTAATTTCCTTCTTTTGCTATGAACCATTTTGCAATGAAAATCTTCCTCATCCTGCAGCATTTTTCCCTGTCTAGAATCCACGTGGTTTAATCCTTTGGTGAAACCCAAAGATTTGGAATTGGAACCCATTTTTGTTTGTTCAAGACAACTTTTTTCATTGATCTTGGTTGTATTCACCTATTGAATCTTTGCAGTGTTGATGCTGTGCCTGTTTTCCTTTCTGAACACTTGCAGCATGACTTTAAAAACTGCTACCCACTTGAATAATTTCTGCTCTTCTGATCAGCGTCTTTCGCTCCGTCCAAAAATTCTCAAATCCCAGAATCAGATCCAATGATCAGGTGCAAAAGACGGAAAATTGAGCTGAGCCGAGTGTTGTAAATCTTTAGCTCAATGCTTCTGGGCATTTATTCTGCGCTTAGGCTTACGCCTCGGACACTCTTATCTGAGAAGCGAATGCAAAAGCGCAAATCTGGAATTCATGGTCCATCTTTATCCATTACCGTCTCCCTACTAAGGCCATTTTTCACTGGTGATTGATCCGGCCTTAAGGTCACCACGGGACATTGCCGAGTGCGGTTAAGTCCTTTAGAAAGGACGTATGTCATTTATTATTTAGCGCGATAATGGACATTATACACACCCTCCCTATTAGATAGATATGGGGGTTTCAAGGGAAACAGTCTCGGTATTTTCCAAGGGAGAGAGGTGCGACTTAGTGGGAAACTAATGCGTCCGGGAAAAAAATGAATCGAGAACGACCAGTGCCCGTTTTAGGTGTCCATTCACCACGTCGTCACTTTGCCATATAAAACAATACATTCATAAAATGTAATATTTAATTCAACAATTAGAGTCGTGCTCGAAAACGCTTCTGACAGCACTATTTACAACTTCCTATCACGTGTCGCTTATTGTAATTAAACACCGTATAGGTAAGTAAAAACAGCTATAGACAGTGCTCGTTTTTACGTTAAATGGTTTTTCGGTCAGTTACCGTAATGGCTCTAGATGGCAAGAGGCCTCTATTGCCATACCATCTGCCCGGAAAGGTCTATTGGCCTAAAGGAAACGGTGGACACTTCCGATTTGTCAGCTTGCATAACAACAAGAATTATCGCTGACGCTTTAACGTTTTACGGTTGTTTATTGATTTGTTTATTCGAATACATCGATATCCGTTTGGAATATTGAAAACTGTTGGGTTGAAAAACGCTTCAAACAGCCAATAAATTAACGGAGTGTTGATGGTTTTAAGCGTATTTTATTATTCATTAGATGCTTGTGAAGTATCTGATGCAAGCTTAAGAACGGCGCTTGAAATTTATTGGAGTTTTACGGTTTCAAATTCCTTCAAACTCTTACAGCGCTGAAAGAGTTATATATATATATACCGTATAGCCTCTAGAAGATCCTCCAATTTCAACTCAACTTTATGCCTTTCGACATGAAATTTTTAAAAACTATTTTCAGAAGGCAAAATTTGCTAAATACACCATCCACGATAGGATTTAAGTGGCAGCAGTTAAAAAATTGACCATTTCATGTTTCGTCTTCAAGCAGTACAGAAAAGTTTGATAAGAAATCGTGTTCCCTAGTATCGAAGGCCTTTGAAACGACAATTTAATTTGGCAAAAGTGCAATGAGAATAATTTTTTTTTAATAACTTACCCATTGAATGGATATCCGGCAAAAGCAGTATCATAAGGATGATAAACGGATGGATACGGCCATCCAGCCGCACCAGCTGCCAAGTTTTCCTTCAGTTCCAGTCCGGCTGCCTGAAACAAACGCAACATTATTTGGCTGCAACAGATCACATTTGCTTGGCAACTTTGGGCCATTTCTCTTATTGTTAAACGTTCGCATAAACAATCTGAGTACAATGAATAACTTCGGACACGTGTAGTGTAGTCAAGACCGTACTTGTCCTCCCACACAGAACAGGATCTTTAAAACGCGCATACAAACAAAATGTTTTCAGTTCCAAACCGTACCATAAATCAGGATTGGAGAGTGGCAACGAATGTGTAACTTCATTAACGTTTCGTTGTATTAATCACAGGGTCCTTGTTGGCTCAACAACAAAGGACTCGATGGCTTCTTTTTATCGTTGCTAAACCATGGAAAACTGTTCCGTAACGGGCTGTTGCGGGTTTCAAGTGTGAAACCTGTTGAAGATTTTCGGCAGTTTTGTTCAAATAACGGGATTTAATCAGATCGCAAACATTTGCGATTAAAACAGCGTCGGTTTTGATTGATTTTCCAAGATGTTTGTTACGCATTCTAAACCTGCGAAGCAGTGGGCCCCCTAATCTCCATACAAACCCACTAAAAACATTTGTTCAATATTTCACAGTCAAATTTCGCTAATTAATAACGTGTTTTACACTGGCTATATGCAAAATTATGCCGATTCGCAGCCTTACGGCCTCCTTAAGGTTAATGGCAAATACAAGTCGAACAGAAAAATGCCTTGTAACACTTCGAAAATTTACATTTTGTCGGTTGTCCATTTGACTTTCCGCAATTGTTAGCGGATATTTAGACTGTTGTGTGTATTGCTAGTCAGTTTTCATACCTAAAGCGTTCATTACTTTGGGTCCGAAACAGGACATTCTCAACAGCTAGAACAATGAAATTTTCGCCCACAAAAGGTTCTGGAGGCAAATTTTTCATATTTGCTGTCTCAGAATCGGAGATTCTTTGTTTAAAATGTGACCATAATATATATAAGATTGATCATCAGGGCTCGAAAGCTTCGACCTTTCGTCAGCTTCAGGGAATGTTGATTTTGTTCTTTAAATCAGCTAATTATTCTTAATCGAAAATTCTGTTTTCTGGTTTGAACAAAACCAGCTAGATTCCATAATATTCATTTTAATCTGTGATCACATCTATATAATCATCAGTAAACGATCTCTAAACTTTGTCTAAACGAAACACAGAAAAGTGTTGTTAAGCAAGCCAAGGCGTTTCGTATTGATTGTCTCTCATCAGGAAATTTTGGGCAACTTTTCAATCCACCTGCTTGGAAGCGAAATAAGAGATAAACCTTTTATTTCTTACTGAAAATACACACCTTTTATAAACCTGAAAAGTTTGAAACATTTGAACTTAATATCGTGTTTGTATACAAGATTACTCATCAGAACTTGAGAGTTTTGCATTTCAGGAAACGTCAGGAAAAGTACTTCGTTAAATCGGTAAATTTTTTGGAGAATTTCTTTTCTACAAAACGAACTAAAACACAGTCTCTTTTTTATCCGTATTACCCTGTCTGTAATATTTTATTGGTTTTCCCTTTTCCTTCAAAAATTACATTTTTCGAAAATCGCAAATAAACTGCCTGGAAGCGAAATTAAAACAAAAAACGTTTAATGGTTTTATAAAATAGAGAAGCGTTCAACAATCAAACCTGAAAGTTTCGAACTCTGCACTTTTTCCTGAAGAGCCAAAACGATAGAACGAAATAAACTGTTGGGGCATTTTTCTAATTCAACTTCAGCTGATTTTCCAAAAGAGTCACATGTGAATCGAGCTTGAAGTGTAAGCAAATACATTTCTGAAAAACAGAAGAACACTCAAATTGGCTGATTTTCGCTAAATCTTGGGAAAATACTGACTTGCAAGACTTAAAAGTTCCACAATTCAGAGACATTTTCGGACCATTCTTCAAATTGAGCCGATATAAATACCGAAACAGTAACAACGTAAAACTTCATATCAACACTCAACTGAGGTACAAATTAATGCGCTGTTTGACCTAAATCGAAGATAATGTGGGTAATAAACCTTGAACAATGTGTAAAAGTGCTACCGTCTCGGAAAAATTTGTTCTATTGTAAAAAGTCGCAACATTTAAAGGTGGGGCCATCACCAGGGAGCATAAAAATTATCCCAATGGGACTTGATCAAATAAAAATTAAACACTTAAGTTAATTTTCGATAAAGCCCAGCAGGCTTCAAGGTTCCTAGTTTAGTCCAATTTTCCGTTCAAAATGCTTCAATTCTGCCACTCTCAAAAAACCTCTCAAAGTATTTTAGACCCAGATAATAAAATTGTGTTCTAGAATATTTCCTCATTATATGAAAATTCCTTCTCAGTTGTTTGGACGGGTTTTCACTAAACTCGAACAGCCAAAAATGTCGCATTCATTTGGCGTGTCGATTTCAAACAAAAAATGCAATAAATTAAGACACATCTTTAAATAACTGTTTGTTCTCATTAAAATCCTCTGATCTCTTCTACTCCTTTGTCATGCTTGAGTCACGTTTGCTTCCTTAGCTCCTTTCTTGTGCTTTAATTGCTAATAGAAATGGAAATCGTTTCTTTTTCTTTATGGACCTAGAAGTCATCTATATCGGCGACTACAAAAAACTCAGTGGAGCAAAAAAAAATTTGTATGAACTCGAACGAATTATGTTCACGACAAAATATGTGCAGTGAAACACGATACAATTGCCTACTGAGACAACCTACAGAGAACAAGCACAAACACAACATCCCAGGTAAAAACAAAGCAATTAGGCCCCCATTGTAAGCAATCATCTAATTGTTTGGTATGTTAAATTAAAATACAGTAGTCGCTATACTTAGAAAGACACCTTATACTTCATAAATCCATTGTTTGCTTGAAAAAATGCCCACCGTAATATTATATTTTCCCGGTTACCAGTAGAGGATTTTAAATTACAATATGCCATTGTTTCACTTCTTGTAGCCAGCACGTTTAAAAAGGGTAGGACGAAGTGTTCGACAGATCCTCATTCAGGCGGTACTGGCCATTCTTCTGACTGACGGTCTCGCAAATCTCCAGAAAAAATCTGGTACGGTTCTGCATGTAGAAAAACTGAGGAAGTAGAGTATTCCTAGATAGGAAACGCACGCAATATTATAATACAAATATGAATACATTTAAAAGAATTATCGGCGAGACAGCGTAAGAATAAGATTGCAGGATAGAAAGCCGTTTCATCCTCATTTACGTGCAGTTATTGTTTGGGATCGTTGTTTCATCTCGTAATAACAATTCCGCAACTGTAAATCGCTTGTCTTAATTGAGATATTATTTCCACCTGCAAGTAAGGCTTAATTTTGCAAATTAGCATTCAAGCATTCCGACATGTGTATTGAACCAGCTGAATGGGAATTTGATTAACTAGTAGTCATTTTGGCTGTATTTGTGTTAAGGTTTTTAATTTAATTAATTGAGGTTCTCTCCAATCCGAACTTTTCCTCATTGCTACTGTTTTCTAACAAATTGAATTAAAAACCGAAAATTAGCCAACATTTGTAAAGATGCAAATGAATGTTTAATCTGGTGTTTTAGCCCAATGGTAGTTATGTGCATGTTCCCTATATCAGATGAGTAAAGTTTCCCGAAAACATTCGGACTCGAGTCGCATTTCGCATAGTTTACAACTTCAAGTGGATTAGCGAACAAATGTTGTGTCCTGTAGATGAAATGGAGAATAATGTTCAGGTGCAGGTCTCCAAGGAACTTTAATTTCACTCGGTCTGGGACAGGAACGCATTCAACTATTATTTGGAGATCGGAAAAAACGTGCGATTGGCCTGCAAGTCGAGCTAAAAACATGCAGAAAGTAATGCGCATTCAAGAAATAGTTGAACTTCTAGTCCTCTTATTGGAATAATCTGGTTAAGCTTCTCAGAATCTTTTGCAAAAAACTCTTCAAAATCGTCAACTTTTGGGATTACTACGGTCGAGTCGGTTCCTTCTCGATGGACAAGGTTTGAAGCCAGTTAAGTTTTTCAGTTTTTCAGTTCTTTCATTTGACAAACTACTTTCATCGAAATCCACCTAGCCATTATTTGGGTAACTTGTTGAAATATCGTTAGAAAAGTCCAAAACTTAGGCAAGATAACCAGCAAAAAAATATTCAGGGACATTTCAATTTCAATGTACTAGCAACATTATGAATGGAAAACTTCTCGATAAATCGAAAACAAGCCACTTAATGAATTTGTCGGCAAAGTCTGTGTGCTACCAGCGGTTTGATAAGTTTTCAAGAGGTTGAATTCTAGTTGTAGTTGTGGAGTTGACACTATCTATTAACTGATACGATCAAAACATCACTTTAGTGCAACTGAAAACAAAGTAATCGGCTAAGTTAAGTATCTAGACGGAGTAATATGATTTGATAATTTTTCCCAACATCGGCAAAGCCATGTAATATCCATAAAACAGCCGTTTACAGTATGGCAATAAAGACAGCGGTTAAAAGCTTTTAATGGAAACGAGGTCTAAACGATATCTAGAAGATATATTAGGGAGGAGTATTTCATATAAAGCTCCACAGTAGCCATCTATATCTATACATATATTTCTGTTAATTACTGCCTCGTTTCAAACACTTAATCGGTGGTTCTTTCGCCTTAATAGCAGTTGAGCAAGGTTTTGCGAAATTAAATAAAAAATACAAGCTAATAGAGACATACAGGTAATTACATGCTGTTACACATGGAACACTTTTACTTTTTCCTGTATCAGTACCTGATCGGTCAACCCTGTAACCACGAAATTAGTCAACATGTAATAGCGGTAATTCTTTAATTAATCGCCACAGGTTTCGATAATTGGCTACTTACGGTGGAAGTGTAAAAGGGCGCCTGATCGGCTCCTAAAGCTGGAAAGTAGGCGGCCATTCCCTCGGGATATGGGGCACTGTACATGCTTAAAGCTGGCAGGCCTGGAACACCAGCACCTAGAAAAATCCACGAAAAAATTGGTCAGTTTCTTGATGGCAACTGGAGCTACTTTTTTCTTAAATTGATTTTTGATTTGTTACTTTATTTCATTACGTTTCGGCGAGACAACAGCGCCATC